TTTGGGTATTTTAAAGATCAAAATGAAAATAATTCATATAAATAACAGAATTCAAAATTCAGGCAGAATAAGCATTTTTCCAAATCAGTTTCTTTCAAATTAAAATGTACCGAAACTTACAAAAACTGCAGGTGTGGGTGTGTGTATGCCCTTGTTTTTGCTACTTGATGGGGACGATTTTTCAGGAAAAAGCAGCCTTGTGGACCGGATGCTCCTTGTGGGGACCAAAGCCCGACTCYGATGGAGGCTGGTTTTGGTGAAAASGAGCTYGTTTTTCGTTCAGTGAAGTTACTCACAGTGAGTAAAATCTAGAAATTTTACTCAAGTAAGAGTAACGATACCTTCATAAYAAAATTACCCMAGTAAAAGTAAAAAGTACAGCATAGTAAAMGTACTCCTTRMAGTATTTTTTTCTCAAAAAGTTACTTAAGTAAAAGTGACTGAATAAATAGCTACTACTACTAAGTCTGCATAAATTTCTTTTTGAGCACGACTCTGCAGCTCATTTTCTGATTAAAGTCAAGACTTTCTTTTTGAATATTTCACAATAACACTTCTAAAGTGAATTAGATGTAGGCGTTTCAAATCAGGAGAAAATTAAACCAGACTTAAAAGGCCACTAAACTTAATAAAGCTAAAGCTTAAATTTGACGTAACAGTAAATGATAGGCCCTGATGTGTGACTCATTGTAAAGGTTTGGTACTTTCCAGAGCTGTATCAAAATCAACAGTTGAAGCAAATTACTGCGTCTCCCAGCAATTAGGATATATATGATGTTTATTCTTTGTAAAACAACTTGTGGTAAATTCACTCCTATAGAACCCCACATTTATTTTCATAGCTTGAACGTCTATTTCAGATTCTGTTTTGCATTTTTAAAATCCTTCACTTTTCGYGCTGTCTGCAGTTTGAAGTACAAACAGGTTCATCATGATGATCCCACCTGCCAGATTACATCATTAACTGCCTCCTATWTTACAGACAAGATTGTGCAAAAAATACTGATATGATCTTTATTTTTCCCACTTTTTTTTAAAAAAAGTGAAACATGTTTGCTTGTTTTCAAACACGATGCAAAAGTAAATAAATAAAGAAAAAATGCAAAAGTTTGTTTTGTTCACACAAAAACACTGAACAGTAAACAGTGTTCTTGTGTTTACAGGAGAAGATCCCGTGAACGATGGTGTGTAGGACAGAACATGCGGGGTAAACAATCATCATCCCTCAGGTCTTTTTTTGTTTTGTTTTTCTTTAGACTGCAGGAATGATGAGGAGGAACAAACGGTCGCCTGTGATGAAACAGGAGAGCAGGTGTCAGGTGAGAGAGCGTTCCTGGGCGAGGAAGGCTCCAGGCCTCCTGCAGATACTCCATCACACGCAGCGTCAACGTTTCCAAAGCCTCAAACAGAGCGGGAACGTCAGCAAACAAGGTGGAAAACTGATGGGAGGGCTGATAAAGCTTTGGGAGGCAGCTGGAGGTGAGAATCCCACAGATCCTCCAGGAGCCAAACGCTGAAGGCAAAACCAAAAACAACAACTGTCCCAATTTATAGAAAACATAAAACAACACATTTTAAGATTATTATGACACCCCCCCCCCTCCGCACACGAAGCGTAAGCGGAAGTCATATTGTTTTCGTACTGTTTTTTTGTCAGTGGTTTTTGGTCAACTGTAGCACAAAAACGGCTGCACCGATCAACGTGAAATTTGGCAGGACTGTAGATGAGTCTGACCTACACTGCACCAGCCAACAGTTTGACGATAGACCCCATATTTGAGGAGGGGGCTCCTTTCAAAGAGGGGGTGTCAGGACATGCAAAATGCTTGTAACTCAGAAACTGTTAAACATAGGAGCTTCAGATATTTTTTGTTGTTTAGCTCTGATGAAGCTCTATCCATCAGGTTCACCAATCAGTGCCCCCCACCCTCCCGGACCCCCACTTTATCTGAAAAAGTGGTATCTGGACATACAAAAATGGTAATTGCTCAAAAACTTTTAAACATAGGAGCTTCAGATTTTCTTTGGTTGTTTAGCTCTGATGAGGGGTTATCCATCAGGTCCAACG